AGGACATGTCTGGGGCTGGAGCTGCACCTGGGACAGAGGGCAGGGGAAACAGAGCAGGGTAGATGGGTGAGGAGCAGCCTCTCACCCCACCACAGGGGACCCAAGGCCTGAGTTGGAAAGGAGAGCTGAAGGCTGTTGATGGAGGCACACAAGTTCTTCCCCTCAGACAAAGCCCAGCAGCAGCTCAAGCCCAGCAAGGGCCCCAACTAGCCCAGAGCTGTGGGGACGCTTTGGCCAAGACTCAGCAGTCACACACCTTCTACTTCTTTCCCTCCCCCACCACAAGCACTTCCAAGACCCCCCATGGGACAAAGTGCCAGGTCTGTGCTGTGAAATGCCAGAGGAGAAAATGGAGACTGGGCTTCAAACTCACCTTGTTCCCAAGGAGATGGAGGCGAGTGGAGGGAATGTGGGAGTAGGGAGAAGAGCCTGCTTTTATACTGCTCCTGCACTGCCCCAGGCCCACAGTCGCTGCACCAGGGCAGTAATTTTCCAACAGACTCATCTCCAAAGCAAACTCTCCAATGCAATGGCACAGATTCAGGTTTTGTTTCCATCTACGCTGCCATTTCATTTCCTCATTTCTGGCATTCCTGTCCTGCTTTGCAGGATCCTTTCATGTCCTGTGCTGGGAAGCCAAAGGATGTCCCAGGCAGAATCCTGTCAGTGGAAGCAGAAGTTGTCTCCTTAGTGCCAGAGGTGTTGTCTTGGGGCAGTGAAAAGCAACTCTTTGCAATACCCTTTGCAGGAAGAGGCCCAGGTCTGTCCCTCACTGCACACGTTCAGAAGAGCATTCAAAAGCTGTGGTTTGGGGACATGTCACTCGCTTCTCTCTCTTCCCTCTCTCTCACCTCTCCCCACACATCACGAGCTGTGGCATCTCCAGGCAGCCAGGCTGTGCCAGTGGTTCCAGGGCTCTTCCTCTTGGTGCCCTTTGCTCTGGGGAGGAGGTTTGACAGGCTGAGAATCCAGGGTGGGGTTAGGAAAGCCAAAGCCCACCTGGCACTGATTGAATCCGGCCAAGCACATGGAGGGCAACAAGGTGGTCTTCTCCAGGCAGGTCATCAGCAAAGGGGGGCTTGGCCAAAGGCAGGCCCAGTGGTGAACAGGGCACCTTCCCTGAGGGCACGGGATACAGGAAAGCTGGAGATACTCAAAGGCTTCTTGTTCTTATTCTTTACTGTCAGGACTTTCTGTCAGGAATTCAAGCTCCTGAAAGTCCTTGGAACATCTGGATCTTCCCCACAGTAGAACAAGATCAGGCAGGGGGAACTGTCCTGCACCTGGAAAGGAAGAACCTCTTGCATCAGGATGGACTGGGGACTAAACTACAGATCTTAGAGCCCACAGACCTCCTCCTGGGAGATCTGACCGTGGGCTAGGGTCAGCTGTGGGGAGAGACTTGGATGTTGGAAGGGGACAGACACACAGGCCTCCCCTGCCTGGCCAAGAAGACTGTGCTGCAGTGAGGAGCCCTCACCAATGTGCTGTGGAGGGAAAGAAAGAGTTGCAGAAAATGACTCCCTACAGGCTGGGGCCCTTCCCTGGTTCAGAGGTGGTACATCTCCTCCTGGCATTAGGGCTTCAGCACACCTCCCCTGCCATTCCCCAAGGGCCTCCTCAGCCTGAAACCAAATCCAGCACCATTGGGGAGCCAAGGAAACTTCCCCCAGCTCCGCAGGGAGTGAGGCCGGGCAGGACCCGGAACAGACCTGGGGATGCTCAGGGAGGGGACGTGCCCAGAAGGGCCCCGGGTACAAACCCAGCTCTCACACTACGCCAAGCAGCGATGCTCTTCCTGCCCTGCAGACATGGAGGCAGCTGGGACGCATCCCAGGAGGGCAAAGGAATGCCTTCAGTAGGCAAATTGCCTGGGATGGACTCTCCCTACCCCTGGCGAGTCACGCTTTGATTCGGTGTTGGCCTTTTGGTGTTGGGCCAAGCCAGGAGTGTGTGCTGTCTGCAGGCTTGTGTCCCATGTGGGGGCAAATTCCCCTCCAGCAAGGGCAGCTCCATTCCAGGCCTCTGGAAAACCATTTTCAAGCACTGGGCTGTGCCCAGACCCACAGCTCCAGGCAGCCCCAAAGGCCATTGCCCTCAGCCTGCCCTGCGTTGGCAGCACTGCCCAGGACTGGGAGCAGCCACGGGACTGAGAGCGTGAACTGCAAAAGGGGCCAGTGCCTCATCCAGCTCAGGGTGCAAAGTGTGCAGCCAAAGGGCCTGGTGGGGGGAGGAGAGGGGGGAGGAAGAAAGTGCTGTCCCAAGAGCCAACAGAGTCCTCAGGGAGTGAGGAAGTACCCAACACCACCGGGCTCCACCTCAGCCTGGATTGCTGCCCGTACGCATTTGTTCCTGCACGAGAAGTCCTTGGGCTTCTCATCCCAGGACATGAAAGGAATCTCCAGGACCCAATGGGCCTGTCAGCAACGAGGAAATGAAATGGCAGCAGGGACAGAAACCAAAACACACC